CATTTTACTTGGCCATTTGTTGTTATGGCCTTGAAGGTTGAATGGGAAGTGCGGAGTGGGAGTCCTTATGGCCCCGCAAAACCAATTGCACAGCAGGCCGGGCAGTAGACCTCAGACCTTCCACCAACCGCCAGTCAAGTGTCCTGCCAGTGACTTCGGCCATGGGAACGGGGTTAATCCAACCTGCCAGCTATCCTTGGCCATCTCGGTGTCACGCCTGCCTCCTGGCCACTCCGCCCCTTCAGCCTCCTCCATTTCCTTGGCATCCTGTCACTCAAGGAGTGCTGCTGCTCCTGTTGATGTGCCAAGCCATTGTTATCGGGGCTATTACAAAATTCTAGAAGGCCAGTTTATGGCATTGCGTTGGACAAATTGCTTTTGAGGCCACCACTCATACGAGTTCAAGTCAAGGAATACCAAATAACTGTTGATTATTTTATTTCATTTTCTGTCTCTTAGATCAGAACTTAATTTTATCTAAATTATAAATTATTCCGATTTAGAAGAGTATATATTTATCTCCCCTGAATTTAAAGCAAATTTAAATGCGACCTTAGAGCTCTTTATTCGCACTGTCATCTGTTGAAAACAACCCTACTTTCCATTATGCATATCCAAGATACACAAGAGAATTTCCCACTAAAAGAAATCAGTGGTTCTGCATCATCGCATCATCCCACGCAGCTTGCAATGAAAACATTTGCAAATGTCTCCGTTTATTTTTTTAAGCGGAAGAAATGCAAAACAAGAGTGTTTTGATTGAATGGAATTTTTCGCTAATGGCGAAGAGAGTGTAAAGGGTTTATCTGGATAAGTGAATGACGTATAGGGGCATAGAATGGCAGACGCCCTATTGAGAGTTAAATTACAATATTCTTGGAAATACAATTTAAAAACAGTTTTATATTAAATTCAATTTTAATCAAATAAATTATGTAAAATAAACATACAACTTTAATAATTTAACTAAACTAAATAGATTTAATTATTTAAAATCCCTTTGCTATTCACTCGTCAGCTCTGACAAGACAATTAAACCATTATTCATACAGAGCTCTCAACAAAATGAAATCAAAATGCAAATAGATTTGTTTCTCCCCGACCATGCCTACTTCATCAGCATGCCCACTCTAGCGCCCACAATCAGAGCCGAAAAAGCAATCAACAAATATCAAAAACTTCGCTCATTCGTGTCATAAACAAAAAAGAGCAAAAACTGCAGACGGGCCAATGGACGTTACCAATTCAAGTACAAAGGCCAGTTGGCAGTTCGACCTTATAGCCACCCACTGACGGGGTGTCGACTCACCAGGCCATGAATATTTTAGTAAATGCCGCGCAAGGCTTTGACTTTCCCACTTGGTCACCCGTGGTTCCTCACTATTTACCCCGAAAAAAAAACAAAAAAAAGAGAAACAAAAAGGGTTCTGTTTCTGGGGGATCCGACAATTTACGCCATTTTTGGAAAACTTTTCCTCGCCTTGTGCGTTCAGTTTTGCTCATAGAACAACCCCCTAGTTTTTCTTTTTGGTGGCGGGAGGAGTGAAAAAAATGTGCAAAGTTTTGTTGGTGTCGTCGTCTACGGAGCATTTGAATTACGTTATTGCCTAGAAGTATGCTTTAGTATTTTGCGGTTGAAAAAGTTTCAATTGCTTGGGTCGTCGACATTTGCGTTTTTTATTAAATAAATTGCAATGCCACTTCCCTGCCGCTCCGGCACTTTCCCTCCATCTCAACCGCTTCCCCGCTTTGTTATGCAAAAATTTCGACTCAAAAAGGGTTGAGTCTATCTCCCCGGGGCCGCCAGCCAACTCACCCAAGTGTTGAAGTGAAAAAGCCGGCATTGAGTAAACAAGTTGCGGGTTTTTCTCTTTCCATGCATGCCCAAAGTGAAAGAAACTGTTTTTTAACTGGGGCAAGGGTGTCAAACGGGGAGACCCGCGGAAAGTTCATTAATTAATGGACCCAAACCCACACTCAGAAAATGAATCGCCCTGAATTTTAGAAAATCGCCTATGGATTTGCTTCACTGGCGATTTTTTTCTTTAAAATAAAAAAATTTTCTACTGGTAAAGAAAATTTTCTTCCAATTAATCAAAATTCATTAAATTCAAGAAATATTCCAGAAATATAGAAAAAAATCGCCAGTAAAGCAAATCCATAGGCGATTTTCTAAAATTTTTTTTTGAGTGCAGCCAGTCATTTGGGTTCGTAAAATATTACAGCCCTATAGGATGCACATCTCTCGATGTTTGATTTTGTCTATTGCTCCTTTCTTTACTTCAACGTAACTTTACCTTTGTACTTAAAATTTTTACATACTTAAATTGTGCAAATTTAGGTGTGCAGATAATGAAAAAAAGACTTTCTTTAAATAAAATCACAACATAAATAAAAAAAATTAAAATTTTATAAAAAAGAAGAAAATTATTTTAAATAACCTCATTTCAAAAAATGTTTACAATTGTAGTTTGTTTTCCTTAGTATTCAGCACGGCCATAATTATTATTTCAGACATGAAGGCAAAACTCGTGTCGGAAGCCATGCAAAGCCATTAACACCATAATGCATAAGAACCCGGGAGGCTAACTTTATATATCAATTTGGTAATCCCCTGCGCTTAGCACATATCCAGAGCCGGAACTCAGGACCTCCATATACCGCATACATAGGCGTTCTTTGCGTGTCCAGAGGTCTTGTGGTTTCTGCTGTTGTGTTATCCTTGCAGCAGTTGGATGGCTTGCGCAGACTTTTACCCAAACTCCAGTTGTTAGTCCTAATTAATTATCGCAATTAGTTAAATGCAGCCAAGGAAGCACTGTATTCAGGGTTTTCGGGGGTTTCCGGAGCGGGGGGAATGGGAAGATAACGTCAGCTGACTGCGGCAAAAAATTAATTTTCTGCTTTCGTTTGCACGAAATGCTAAGATAATTCTCAGTTTTCTGTCTGCGTGTCTAGTTTTCATTTTCATTTCATTTACTTTTTCCAGCAGTTTCCGGAAAACTTTTTTCCACTGTTACTCTCCTTGTTTATTTGTTGTTTATGCCCGTAATTGAATTGTTTAGAAAGGCCGAGAAGAGATCCTTTGTTTTCGTTCGAGTTGGGCTTTTTCGAAAGATACTAAAATAATACAGTGGAATAAATGTGAGGGTTGTTCGTTCGATTTGTTTGCCGATGAACTGCAAACATTTTCATCTATTTACTTGGCTACCTTGGCTCATCCATCAACTCTTTTGCCAGCCAACAACATCCAGGAAATTCTCATTGGAAATTCGAGGCACTGCAAGAAGCCATTGAAAATAGCATCTAACATCAGTAAACAATCTGCATTTTCAGTTAAAAGACAATGCATATAGGTTGTTGCCAGCCAAAGGATATAAGCATTGCCTGCAGGACCTGCGTGTGTGTTTCTAAGGAATCTTATGCTGCACACATGACTGAACCCGAGAATGGAAGGGGGGAAATGGGGCTGGGAGGAGAGCAACAAAGTAGTTGCACAATCTGCACTGATAAATAATAAATCTTCAACATCGGCAGGGAGTCTCGAGCAGTCGAAGTCGGAGTCTCTGCAGTCTGGAGTCCTGGCGATGATTCAACTAAGGCATAGACAGCCTTAAGTTTTGATATATTTGCATGCTGCAATGCATACAATGCGGAAAATCGTTGGTAATGAACTTTAATGGTGTCGTCATAAAATGTTGGGCACATTCCAGGGGAAGTGGGTATTGTAGGAAAATTGTATGATTATGCTAAAAATGATAATGATAACCCCTTACAGGTGCCTGAAGAATTCGCGTTTTAATAATTGCTTCTTAAAAGTAAGTACATATTCACAAAATAATAAACTGAAAACTTATAGATTTAATAAGTTTTGATATTAGAGTTTATTCATCACATGAAACACAATTTATTTGCTACAAAACACTTTCAGAAATATTTCAAAATATTTTAAACTGGTAATAAATCCCATTGTAAAGCTCCCAGTTTCCAGTTATATATCCGTAAAATTTTGTTTGTGTCCTGCAAGTAATCGACAAGCAAACATTAATAGCATTTCGATGTTTGCTTGGCGGGCGTGTTTCCACACAGATAAGAAGGCCAAGAAGGAAACAGCTCCGTAACCAAGCCGCAAAACTTTGTGCAACTGTGAGACAGTGTCGAAAGACATGGCAGAAGTCCCGCTCCCGATTTTGGTCCTGTTGGTCCTGTGGCGCCTTTTCGCTTTGACACAAAGCTGCAAGGCAAGCGGAAAGTTTTCGGTGCGCCAAAGTTTTGGTCAATGCAGTTACACGAATACAGGGCTGAAAAACCCAATGTGTTTGTATGTTTTTCGTTATTTTTTTTCGGGCCAGTTTGGACTAGACTGGCGTGTAATATGAGCTAAGCGAGGTCAGCTGGAACCACACTGTTGTTGCATACATATATATACGCTTATAATTAAGCATAATATGAGCCAGATCCTGGACCCCAGCTAGCCATCCAGCAGCCTCCGTTTCACGTGGTGGGCACTAAGTGTTGGCATGTGGTTTTTACTGTTGCCAGGATTGCGTCGTCCTTGTTGCTGCGATGTTCTGCATTTTGTTATTTTCCTTTGTTTCGGGGCTTGTTGCGGCAAACATGTTTGTGTCTGTGAGTCTCCGTGTGTGTTTGCGTGTTTGTTAGCCGCTTTTTGCAGCATAATTTGCACAATTAACATTGCAATAAACTTTTTACGCCAACAATTAAGCGCTGGCAAAAGAAAGTTTAATTGGTCAATTTTCATTTAAATAATAATACTAACCAATTAAAAGAATTGGTTAGCATTTTGGTTGGAAAGCATTAAGATAAGGTGGAGATTTCCCTTTGTGGTTTTATATAACTGACAAAAAAGTGTTTATAATAGTGTCAGGAATTATCTTTTTTCTAAAACTAATAATCTTAACATATTTATTTAAAATAAATATCTTCAAAAGGGAGACCAAGATCTACAATTCAAATACATTTCGGTTCATTGAAATCAGTACACTACAGGAAAATTTAGAAGGGCTCTTTTTTTATTACATCCTTTTTATACATATAGTGTATAGGTTTAGTTAGCACGGCAATGTCGAGCCATAATCTTAAGAATCTTTACAAGCGAAAGCGGCAGGTCAAGTTCCAAATGGGAGACGGTTTGGAGGGCAAGTTAGGTTGTCCTCAAGAAACGCATCGAACCCAGAGACATCCGCATGTCCAAATTGGCGACGGACCGATGGGTGAAAAGAACAGCCTTCATAAAATCCATGCTTCTCTTACTCCTTTGCCTTTGAATGAGGACGAAAGTAAGAACGAAACCGAGATTGAGATACAGGATTACCGGCAACTGCAGAGGGTCTTCCAGAAGCTGGACATGGCCGACCAGATCGTTCTCTACCGTTCTTACCGATTACTTCCTGCTGCCTGCAGCGCCCTCTGGCGGACGACACGCAAACGCCTGGACTTTCGCACCCTCTACAAGGAACTCGGAGTGGAGGCCCAGAGCCACCTGCTTATCCACATGATGGGTCATTTCAAGTACGTGTATTTCGTCGCTAATAAACTGCAGGTGAGGATTTTATAATAATTTATATTGAAATTATTTCATTACATATATTATTTAAATTTTTTGCATTTAAAATATTAATGATGTCAATATGTGAATACTTTTTTTCCTTTATCGTCATATATTTTAATGTACGTCGTTTTTATTTAATTCATTTTAATGAATTACTTAAGTAACTTTAAATAAATTTTATTTTTAATTGAACCTATTCGGCCACTAAATATTAATATTCTCCAAGATTATAATTATTATTAATAATTACATAATTTTAAAAGATAAATATGATACGAAAAAATGAAAGCAAAAAATGTATTTTTTTTAAATATTTACAGGAAAACCTCAATACACTGGAGCGCGCGGGAGTCAAGTCGCTGAATTCCGTGCAACGCTGCGAACTGCTGCTGATGGATGAGAAGTCGGGCGTATCGGAGGTCAGATGTATTGATCACTCAGGCGGTGGGGATTCCTCTGGAGGAAAGGGAATTGCCCAGTGGCCCCTGCACGCACTGCCCAAGCTGATGCGAAATGTGCGCCGCTTGAAGGTCCACTGCGACATCCAGGTGCACTTCGTCGAGCATTTCCAGCATCTGGAACTTCTTGTGCTCTACGGCGACATCTCGCAAACGGCTCTCACCGGAATTTTGGAGCGGTGTCGGAAATTGGCCAGATTGTTCCTTCGATTCGATTGCGACACCTTGAGCCTGAAGACCATCGACAAGTGCAGCTCGCTGAGGGATTTATCCCTGCCCACTGGACTGTTTGCCCGTCAAAAGGAGCTGGTAATGAAACTAACCGATCTTCGCCTGCTGGAATTGACACACAGCCAAAAGGACAGTCGCCTAACACTGGAGTCCTTGAAATGTGTGCTAAGCCAGCGACCAGAGTGTGTGGACCTCATCCAAATGGATTGCAACGGCTTCAGGGACCCCGAATGGATGAAACAGGTGGGTCTGGATCGATGCTGTCGGATGCGGGGATTGGTCTTGGCCAACTGTGATTTTTGCGATCGCGAGATCAGCCAGCTGTCCTTTCCAAAAGTTAAGAAATACATCGCCCTGAGCAAATGTCACGACATCAAGGAGTACCAGATTCTAGACATGGTTCGACAGTGTCCCGGTCTCAATGAGCTCTATCTGATCGACTGCCCCCACTTGAGCTGGAAGCTCCTGCAGGGCATCTACCGAATCCGCAAAAGCGAAAATCTTAGCTACCCCATTACAGTTATTCTCGGGGAGTGCACGGAACTCAGGGAGGTTTATCAGACCATGGTGAGTACTTACTTCAATTTATTTTAGTTCCTTTTGGTGGGACTTAAGTATTGCTCAGTCTTATTAGATTAACTTATATGTGGTAAATAATAAGTGGTCAATGATCCATTTTTGCTAAATAAATAGATAAATAATGTAGGATAAAATGTAATTAAATTCATGTTTGTTAGGTTAACCTAATAATAATAAAATTATACATTTGCTTTTTGATCTTCGCTGAACCATTTCTTACAAGTTTTCCAAGCTTTTGTTAATAGTCTAATATTAATATTTTATACTCATATTTATATTTTTTTACACATCTTTTATAGTACTCTAACTACTGGTGCTTTAAGTTACCCTACCTCAAGATTGAACGCATCCAAAAGCAAAGTCGACCCGTAGAGGATATCCAGGTTTTTTTTAACAACAGCCAGTTGGATATCACATTGTAGATAACCAGAAGTGTTTTAAAAATGTACCAAAAATGTATTGATTGTCTTACGACAAAAAAGAAATTCAAGCTGGCAACTTTTTAATAAATTTAAAACGAAATTTCCTCTTAAAATATTTTAAATTGTTTTATATTAAAAAGTCACTTAATATACTTATTTAATATTTTTTTATATTTAAAATAAAAAGGACAACAGATATATAACCGAGTATCATAATTTACTACTTAAGTTGACAAAGTTAATTTCCGTTAACCTCATAATAAGCCACACAAAGCAGATTTCTCATCCTCACCAGGACGCAGGGACTGAAACCATAGGGCATTTTCAGCTTATTACGGCTCATTTCACAAACATTTTTGTACCACCCACGTGGGTGCCGGAAAAGTCGAATGGAAAGCGGAGGAAAATCGGGGAAAAGCGGCAAAAAATTCCGGACAAAAGAAGCCAAAAAGAATGGTAGTGAAGCCCGGAGTAAACGAGGCGTGTAGCAACCAGTAATGGACAATGGCTCAACAAAGACATGTGAATTATGTCATCTATTGTTTCTAGATTATACTCCTTGGAGGAGCCGAAAAGCACATGGCCACATCTCTACATCTCCACATTTCGATTAATTAAATTGTGTTTTGCTTCTTCACTCCTCTCTCATTGGATCTGCCACGAAGCCAATTAAATCGGCAATGAACCACGAAGAGCGTTAAATGAGATTTTAAGCTTTTGACAGATTGAATTTTGATTGGAAAAGTGGAATTGGAATTGGAATTGCAGTTATCGTTTGGCGACCGTGGGCATTAATAAATTTCCAACTACCGTGCTTCCTTCCGGTGTATGGTTTATTTTATGGCCCAAGTGTGCGACTGGCGATGGGGTAAGGAAGTGTTTGGGGCCAAGATATTGTCCTGCTCCTGCCGTGCGTGAGGCCATAAAACACTCGAGAGTTATGGTCCTGGTCGATGGCTAAATGCATTGGTATGCGTAGCGTAACGAAAAACAATTAGCTGCGGCCAAATAAAAGTGGCCCACATGCTGCACACACACACAAACTCATTGTCCTGGCACTCAGAGAAAATTTAGGCGTCTAAATAAATAAATTTTTCGAATTTATAAAATGATTTTGCAATGCTCTAAGAAATGTATTTGCGATAAGTTCATCTCTAAAAATTGTTTACTATAATTTCAAATTGCTAATTGCCCATTTTTGAATATATTTATTTAATAAGCGCATCCTAGTTTTAAAATTTCTTATAAATTATCTTTTTAAATCAGTGTTAAATGTCTCAATTTAAAAAGATTCGATTTTTTCTTCCTAATTTTGGATCCATGTCTTGATATTTTAATTTCGAAATTGAGTTCCTAATTCATTAATCGATCGCTATAGTGATTTCTTAACTTAAAATAAATACAAATCTGTTTTTATGTATAAAAAATCGAATTTTATGAACCAACGATACTTTGGTGTACATTTCTTTTTGAGTGTCCCTGTATGGTTCCCATCATCATTGTTGTGCTGGCAGAAACTTTTATATGGCTTGTTTCCTGCCACGCCCCCTCTGCTGCCCCGGGGGTCTTATCACTGTATTCACTGTCTGGAGCGGATTGCTGGCAAAGTCATGTCCTGAATGACGAATTCCAACCGGCTATTATGTTCACGACTCACTCGACCGAAAGTCGCAGGCAACTGAAATTGTTTGGCCGGAATCGTGTGCATTTTACTTTCTGATATTCAATTAATTGAAGTTTTATTTGTCTGATTGCCGTTCGCAAAGGTGGTTGCAGAGGCGGTAGAGAAGCCACAGATAAGTGGATAACGATAAACAATTAAAGTGTGGAAATTGATTGATTGTTGTGGAAGTTCGAAGAGATTAACAGACAACTCTGTTTGAACATAATTGGCGGAGGAAAGTTAAGATGTTTCGTTTGAAACAATGAAACAATGATCGGGATCGAAAACGCATTTAATTAAGTTACCATTTGAGCTCAGGATATTTAATATTTGTTGGAAATAACTGTTGGGACTCCAAATATTCCCTGTCCTTTGCATCCTTTTTAATTTCCCTTTGCGGATCAATACCTTATAAATTGCCCGTGGCAACAAGCGGGGAATTTAGATAGCATGTCCCCATTATAGTAAATTCCAAACAACGTAATCCTTTAATGCCTTTTTAGCTACTGCTCCTACGGCCACGGGTACTTCAGCAGGAGCTTTAGCTGCTTTCAGAGCAAGCTGCATCTCGAATTCCTTATTTACTTTATAGGTGCAGGCAAAGTAAACCAATACCAAAGCTATTTTAGTCGCTTACCGTGTTTCCTCATTTTTTTGTGCTTCTTTGAGCTCCTTTCCCCGACGACTGACTTTAATCAGTGGCATTCTAGGATGCTCCCCTCCTTTCTGCTCCTCGGCTCTCCTCGCAATCCGGCTCCTTTTTCCACCACCATGCTGCCGTTGTCCTGCACTCAATTCGTTTTCTTTATTTTCCATCAGACGGAAGTCATGTGTGCCGGCTGCACATCCTTTATGCCAGGGAAGGTAGCTTCTCCTGCAGCTCCTCGGTTCCACGACGACCAGGATGAAGAAGTCCGTCTGCCGGACACACACACATACACAAATATTTAAGCCATTCCTACATATAGGGCAGATAATCGCTTTACAATCAGGCAGGAAACTATTGCAAGCATGATTGTTTCCGCGAAACGTGTTTGCACCCGAGCAGTTTCCACCAAATGCCAAGGAATAAGGAAAACAACTTTTATGAAAGCAAGTCGACTTTGCCTTTTTCTATGAGGACCTCAATAAATAATAATAAATGCATTTTCTCTGGGAAAAAACTTAACACAGCATCAGGTCGCAAACACCTTGATACTATTATTTATTTATTTATTATGTAGGTATAATAAACCTACAGCTCACCAACTTATATTTGTAAATAATACAGAAATGTATTAATTTAATTTGCTTTAATAATAATTTTATTATCATCCAGGTACTTTGAATTTCACGAAATGTAATATTTATTTAATTTAAAAACCAGTTATTACAGTTAACTTACCCTAAATGTTGAGTACGACCTTTTCCACCTGCGAAATAAACTATAATTACTGACTAACAAATCAGACCCACTGACCTAACCAACCGCAGAGACCGAAACTCAATTTCAAATGTCAGTCAAATAAGAAAAAGGGCCGCTGGTGAAAATTTCGCCTGACGAACGGACAGCCGACCGGGCCAAAACCGCAAATAAATTACTGGGCCACGTTAAAGATTTGTTAATAAAGATAAATTTACTTATCGTTTATCTTGATTATGCAAAAAGCCTAAGTGAAAACTCAAAGACCCCGGAATGGAGGTGGAGCACAAAAGCCAGAGAGACGCCTGTGGCAATTGAATGAGGAGTGGCGGAGTGGAGGAGGCCAAGAAAGCAGCAGCAGATGGGCCTAAAACTTTTTCATTTCCTTCGGGCCAGGCCCATAGAATGGCCAACAAGAGTGATGAGGATGAGAGGATGAGTTCGGCTGGCTACGCTTTATATGGGCCATGAATAAACATAATACATATTGCACTGTTTTATACTAAATTAAATAACTTGCCGCTCGATCTCGAAGAGCCTGAGCCTGAGCAGCTATTCTGGACTTAGCATATTTGCCCCGAGGCCAGGGAATCTTTTTTAAGAAGGCCAGACCTGGCTGTGTCAACAGCTCCTGATTAAGTTCTCAACGGGTCCTTGTGCCAAGGAGTTTTTCAAGGAAAGAATTCAGCTTTTGTGTACGCAAAATCTTGGTGAGCAGGCTCACAAAGAATGTTTGCACTTTGGCACGAAATTAATGGGGTGGACATATGATGCAGGAAATTGCTTATATATTATTTCTAAGCCTTTGCTGTTCGTATTGTCATTTTTTTGATATCAGTAAACTAAGGAAAGATTTTTACAAATACTTATATTTAATTTTTATCATTTTAATATTATGTTAAAATTGTATAAATTAACTCAAGGCGTTCTAAATCGCTTTGCTGCTATTTACTCTTGTAAAAAACTTATTTTGCTATTTTTCATTTGCAAAAATTCACAGATATCAAATAGTTTTCCACTCGAGAATACCAAGCTATACAACCAATCTATTTCACTTGTCTGAAGTGGATAAAATAAAACTTTCCAACATTCAAATCTCCAGCGCTGGCAGCCACAAATTTTAAAAATAATCCCTGGCCAGGAGCAGGAATTTGAGATACATTTATTATGCAATTTAATAGCCCAAACCAAGTGCAAATAGTTTGCTGACAGGGTGGTGGTAAGAAGGGGTGGAGACCCCACCCAAAGCCAACGGCTCAATCAAGAGGGAACTTGGCCGGAGCAGAGTTCAACAACTAACAATTTGTTTGCCCGAGTGTGGGTCATTTGGAGATGACCAGGCTCCTTGATTGGTGGGTCCTTTTGGTTACAGTTTGCTGAGCACCGAGACGGACACACTTTAAAATGTGTTGTGTTGTTTTGGGCTAGAGAAAACGCCAGGGCAAAGGTTTTTATTTATTGGCATATAAACCACAAATAGCAAACATGCCAAGATGGCAACGCACCCACAAAACTTTCGGGGAAACCCACAATACATAAATATTTCATGTCTTGACTTTCAATTTCAGTTTTTTTCTCATCTACTCCGGTTTTGTCCTTTCTCGTTTCTCACTGGTTTGTTTATTTGTTTCGTTTCGTTTCGTTTCGAATGCGAAGGGGATTTTCAAGGGGCAACCACTTGATTTCAAAATGTTTTATTTATGCGCACGATTATTATTTTGGGTTCTTCGAGAATATCCTTCGTGGATATTCCCCCCACTTTTGCATGCTGTGGTCACCTAAAGGCATTTTATCATAATCGAATAGAGAAGCCGGGTTTCGTGTGGTTCTGAGTTTTTTGGGTGGCGGAATGCAGTAACTGTGGTCATGGACTGCCTGATTGCTTCAATGGTTTCCTTTTCTTGATGCGGGTCCATTGTGCACATTCACATATACGTACCATATATATCCGCATATCTGCACGCATATATAAATATCCTTTTCCTTTCCCGGGGGAGCTTTT